CACACACACACACACACACACACACGCACACACACACACACACACACACACACACACACACACACACCCCTAACCACATTAGTATATACCTAACCCTAACCGCACCTTAGCCCTAATCCTAAGCCCTGACCCACAAATGGTGTTGTTCCCTTTTGTGGACCAGGCAAATGTCCTCACAAGGGTGGTCTTATGTCGAATTAAGTCCTCACAGCAAAATCAAGACAAGCACACAAACACACCCACACCCACCCTTTATCATTGCTGAACACACAACGTCAAGTAAATTAAAATAAAACAATGTTTTTGACTTTTTGAAGATTTGTCAACAACAACAACAATAATAATAATAATAATCAGAGGTTATGTTTTCATGACTAATTTATAAAAAAAAATTTACATTTCAGGAAACTGAGAAAATAATTGCTGAACTAAATGAAACTTGGGAAGAAAAACTTCGAAGGACAGAAGCCATTAGAATGGAAAGGTAAGATTATTTTCTCATCTCTTTATCCATCCATTCTTTTCTCCTGTTTTAAGAGATAAGAGATAAGATAGAACTTTATTGATCCCACAGTGGGGAAATTTGAACATTACAGCAGCTCAAAACAGTGGAGTTACAGTGACTGGCTGCCTGACATGGCGCCAATTTAGAAACAAAGAAAAAATGAAAATCACACAGGGGAAGGGAAGATGAGGAAAAAAGCAAAAAACATCATATTATATCAACACAGTGACACACTGTGGTGTTTATGAAAAAAACCTCTGCATAGAGCAAGTTTGTTAGCCAGAGGAGGAAGTGAGTTTAAGGGGGCCCGAAGAATCCAATCCCCAAACCAGGGCAGCCATAGTCCAGAAGTATTGATGGAAAACTGTTCATTTCACCTGCAGAGGAGCACAGAGTGGGGTGGAGCTTCGTAGACTAGAGTTTAGGCATCTTCACACAACACTTCAAGCCAGGACTTAGCCTTCTGGCCACCTCAGTGTGATTTGTGAATCGACCGAGGCTTGAAAGAAACCCACCTCTGATTAGGATCGGTTTCGTTAAGGTTTTATCAATACTACTACTCTTATCGGTACTGCTAATCGATCCGGTATTTTAACAATTCTCTTATCAATACATTTCTGTTGGAATAAAACCAGTTTCCCTGCACAGCAACTTCAGAATTAGCATACTAACAACTAGCTTCCATAGGCCACTTCTGTAAACACCGCGCTGAATGAATGAGACGTCACGTCTTTCTCTGCACATGCGGGTAGCGAGTTGCCAGCAGCCTGTGTTGCTAGCAGCCCCTCCCCTTTGTGTTGAGGAGAGCTCAGAGGAAATAGGCTGCGGGAGGGGAGAGAGGAAAACAGAGCTCCTTCTAAACAACACAGCATGCGCCGTGTCCATGTCCAGGTTATTAATTTCAATATAATCATTTTTAAAACTACTTTCTTCAGCTGTCTATCATATTTATGTGTGTATAATGCAACCCCGCCATTTTTTAAGCTTAAAAGCAAAAACAAAATAAATAAATTAATTAATTGTATCCTGGTGTATAATGCTTTAATGCTAATTTCATACAGTCTTCAGGATTTTTTAGCCTTTGCAGTGAACCCTCTGGTGGGGAAACGATTATTTTGGGAACACACAGCACCTGTGGGCGTGCTTTTGCAAGTCACTGCGCTCCCAGAGCAGAAGCTGGTTCTTAAGTTAGCTAGATGCACTTATGAGCATGTGAACATGCAGCTAATGTCTACTTCCATCTCTGCAGTTAACAAGAAAACAATAAAAACAAACAAATCTTCCTCCAACTCTGGTGCGAGAGCAACTGCTCTTTTTTATGTTCAGCAGGAGAGAAGTTATGATTTTATCTTCTGCGACACAATATTTCAGGTATATACGAGAAAATATAGAAATTTATTGTGGTAGTACATAAAAAAATTACAAAAATTTACTTCCGTATATAATACGACGTCCTAGCATCATGGATGAATTTTAGTTTTAAATTTCTTGCATAAATACAGTAGTTTCAACAACTGCTACAGATACTTGAAGGTGCAGATTGCCCCAAATGACTTAAAGTGAAAATATCAAGACATCATTTGTGTGTAGAGGAATTTATATCTGAAAGACAAACCTAATAAACTGAGAGATGAGGGAGATGAAAAATAAACCATTTATTGACCTGAGACTGGTGTTTTTCCCACAGAGAAGCCCTGCTGGCAGAAATGGGCGTGGCGATACGAGAAGATGGTGGAACAGTTGGTGTTTTTTCTCCTAAGAAGGTAAAATTACCACATATCTCTAAGCTTCCTCTGTGATATCATGCTCACCATTTAAATTAATCAATTTAATGCCTATTTATTTACCCCAAAAAGCCCTCTGATAACCCCAGAAAGCCCCAGCCTGTGTTTATCGACACAGTTGGTCTGTTTTCTCCCAACGAGGTTTGTTGTTTTAAAGTGTTTGTTTCTTCTGAGTGCTTCGAGGATCTCCTTACAGGAATCTTTCCTATGGGCACTTCAGATGAGGGTTTCTCATTTTCACTGAATGTTGTCCTTAATCTACTTAATTACTGACTTGAAACACTTCCTCTCTGCACCAGTGAGTGAAAGAGATGACGTCTGTGCCTCTGTTTCAGTGATTTATTGCTGCTCGCCTGCAGCCCATTTACATCTAAGACTTCATTAAACACTCATGTTTTAACTGCTGCTGGTGTGTTTGACTGCATGACTTGTACTGAGTGTTTCTTACAGTGGGAGGCTGGGTTTCAGACCACTTGTACTTTTTCTACAATATAAACAATGGATATTAACAGGGCCGGCCCTCTTGTGCTGTTTTCTAAACCTCACTGCCAACTTATAGACAATCACAAACCAAATTAAACAGTTTTATCATTTATATTATTTTTTATCTTTAGAAATAAGGTTTTCCAGTTAAAATAGTTAGCAATAATTCATTTGTAACAGAAGCCTCATACCTGCCAATGTCTGCTGACATCATGAGGAACACCTGTTCATGTTAACCAGCAACTGTGGACTGAAGCAGTTCTAGGGGGGGAAATTGTTATAAAAGATCTACTGAAAACTACATTTCCAGCCATTTGAAGAACATTTTATTAAATTCTTGGGATTAATAAAACATAAAGTCAATATTTATGAAGGTAAAACACAAAAAACTGAACTTTATCTGAGATCAGAACTGAAACTTCATTTTCCTTATTTTGTTTTCTGTTTCCACACTGAGCACCAGGAATTAGTCTTGACTGCATCATATGATACTTTTATCATGAAATATCCTCTAATCCATATAACACCTCATGTAGGAACAAAACAGCTGAGAAACCCACAGAACAAGTTCAAAAACCTGAAGAACCAGGGATTATTCTACACACTAAATCAACTATACTCTGATAAAAAGTTATTAAAAAATGTCCCCCATCTGTGGCGCCCTCTACGTAGACAGAGCCCTCAGCATTTGCCTATAGTGCCTATGCCACAGGCCTGCCCTGCATATTAAATCATCAGTTGTTGGCTATAAATTAAGTATTTGTTTTTGTGTCAGACACCTCATTTAGTAAACCTCAATGAGGATCCCCTGATGTCAGAGTGTCTGCTGTACTACATAAAGGAAGGGATCACCAGGTCAGAAAACTACATTTTACTGTTTAAAGAGATTGTTTTATTTAGTCAGTGGAATTGAAAAAAGTGAATGTTGAATATGGATTATGTTTTTCTTTATTTTTTCTTTTTTATTCCTCTTCAGGGTTGGTCGTTTAGACGCCAGCAGTCGTCAAGATATAGTCCTCAGTGGCCACTTCATCAAAGATGAGCACTGCACATTTACAAGATCTGCTGGTCCGATGGGTGAAAGTGAGGAACTCTAGAAGCTGGTACCTGTTGTGCATCAGAGTTTATTTAGCTGTAATAATAAAACCTTCTCTGTTCACAAGCAGCTGTTGTCTTAGAGCCGTGTGAAGAAGCAGAGCTTTATGTCAATGGAAAGCGAGTGACGGAGCCCACTGTCCTGAAATCAGGTCAGTTCTTACCTCCTGCTTTTCTGTTTCATCAAACAAGCATATCAACTAAATATTGTGCATAATGTGCTCTGATTTCTACACTTGAAGGAAATCGGATCATCCTAGGAAAGAGCCACGTCTTCCGGTTTAACCACCCTGAGCAGGCCAGAGCTGAGAGGGAGCGGACCCCCTGTGCAGAGACCCCTGCTGAGCCTGTAGACTGGGCCTTTGCTCAGAGGGAGCTGCTGGACAAACAGGGCATTGACATGAAACTAGAAATGGACCAGAGGTACAAAAACTAAAAGTAAAAACAGCTGAGAAAATGTAGAAAGCAAGTGGAAATCACAGCGTTAACAGCTGCCATGTTAAATGGGCTGACGTCAGCTTTATTTTTAACACAGTGGTACAAAAATAGAAGTAGTGTTTCTTTGGGTCGTTACCACTCATAAAGCTATTTTTTTGCACACCTGTGTTTGTCTTCAGGCTGCAGGAGTTAGAGGATCAGTATCGCAAAGAAAGAGAGGAGGCCAACAACCTTCTGGAGCAGCAGAGACTGGTACAGTCACCTGTTGTTTGTTGGTTTTATTACAGAGTTTTGACTTTAAATCGTTAAAAATAGTAATGTTTCTTTAGGTCAATGTTTGTAAATTGATTAAAACACCACAGAATGTGTTTTAATGGCATTGTGTTATGCCTTAAAGTAATAGTAATAGTATTGTTGTAATATGAACTTGTTTTCTGTGCATTATTTGATGTCTGAAAGCACTGCGTCTTTGTCCTCATTTTGACCATTTCTCAATTTCTGAAAATAAATACTAAAAATTTGCTTAGAATTATGGAGACATGTTGTCAGAAGCTCATAGAATAAATAACAATGTTCATTTTAATCTGGCCCTTGCCTTCCTGTATAGTTCTGCTCAGTTCTACGAAGCAAAGCGAAGAACAAGGGGCTGTTTTTTTACCAGGCTACTCAAACATATACCTATAAAAAGTTAAATCAGAGAAACTGATCATTTAAGTGGCCTATTATTTTTTTCCAGAGCTGTAGATGGCTGTGTAAAATTGTAAATATTAGCAACGGCATGAACTGCTGTGAAGGTTTGAAGACTAGACGCACTTTTACATTCATCTACTTGGACAAGTCCAGGCGGACACGTACAAAAACAGATTTTTCCTGCCTTAAGACAGCTCCAATCTCAAAAATTTTTATAGCGATTGGTGTCAATTTAATTTAACAACCCTTCCATTGCTGTCACCGTTAGATTTATGAAATAACTTTGTATTGAAAAATGAGTGAGAATGAGGTTCTACAGGTTTCTCTTATAAACAAGACTGCCTGTCTAAAAAAAGTAAATTAAATAAAAATGGAGGTCTAGACAGCATGAGCTATTAAGAAGTGGTTCAAACTGGAGCAATTTTAAAATGGCAGCAATCCATTTTGGTCTGGGGTGTGTTTTAGACTAGCCATGAGCTCATCAGTCCTGTTCAAGAAGCTATCTGCAGCCAGTAAGATATTGATTGTTCATAATTTTCACCATTTCAAAATGTCCAAATCATCCTAATAATATTTTTCTAATATGACACTTTTTCTCCATTTCATTGATTATTTTATCTGACAGGATTTTAAACTAAACATTTGACAAGAATCCCCAATATTTTTCTTTTTCTAGGATTATGAGAGCAAGCTGGAGGCTCTTCAGAAACAAGTGGACCGTTGTTACCCAGATGCCCCTGACGAAGAAGATGATCCAGAAGAGGAAGGTAAAGAAAAGCTGGACACACATTCTGTTCGTTTGTTGCTTTTTAAACACGTTTCTACACAAGAGTATTTTCTTATGTTTTGTCCAGCAGTTCAGTGGACAGAGAGGGAAAGAGAGCTAGCTGTGTGGAGCTTCAGGAAGTGGAGGTGTTACCAGTTCACCTCGCTGCGTGACTTGTTGTGGGGAAACGCCATCTTCCTTAAAGAAGCAAACGCTATCAGTGTTGAACTGAAGAAGAAGGTGCAGCTTCTTATAGTTTCATATATAAATTATAGCTTTTATGATCAACCAGCCTAATGGTTTCTGATCGTCCGCAGGTCCAGTTCCAGTTTGTGTTGTTGACAGACACCCTCTACTCCCCCCTGCCTCCTGACCTGTTGCCCCCAGAGGCGACCAAAGACCAAGAAAAGCGACACTTTCCTCGCACCATAGTGGCCGTGGAAGTACAGGATCAAAAAAATGGAGCAACTCACTATTGGACACTAGAGAAACTCAGGTACCTGAACGCACATGAAGCACTTGACTACAAAATGTTACGCTCTTTAATGTTTCAAGTTCAGTAAGTTCAAGTTCAATAAGTTCAAGTTCAAGAATTTTTATTATCCCCAAGGGGCAATTTGTTGCACAGCTAGTAGACATAAAAACATTCATACACAAACACACACACACACACACACACACACACACACA